TAGTAGTAGTAGTAGTAGTAGCGTAGTAGTAGTAGTAGTAGTAGTAGTAGTAGTAGTAGTAGTAGTAGTAGTAGTAGTAGTACGAGTAGTACGAGTAGTACGAGTAGTACGAGTAGTACGGTTAGTACGAGTAGTACGAGTAGTACGAGTAGTAGTCGTCCCCCTCCTCCTTGTCCTCCTCCTCCTCCTCCTCCTCCTGCTCCTCCTCCTCCTCCTCCCCTCTCTTATCGTTGCATTCGGGCGCGAGCCTGGCATTGGCGCGATCCTGTGGCGCGCGCCGTGCCAACCGGGGCACCGTGGCTTGGCCGATGGCCGCCGCGGGCGCCGGCCTGGGCGTTGCCAGCCCCGCGCGGGCAACGGCATGAAGACGTCGCCCCCGCCAGCGGCGCCCACCACGCCAGCCCTGGCAAGGCTTTGGGCGTGCGCAGCGCCCGGCATGCGCCAGGCACAGCCTTCGAGGTGCCCAAGCAGCGCGCATTGGCTGAGAGCTAATCTAGAAATCTGGGCGTTGCGCAATTTGTTCACACCGAGCGTTTTCGCCCGACTTCGGGCCCCGTGACCGTCACAGAACGATCCAGCTCGAAAAATGCATAGAACTATGTGGTCCAGGGCTCCAGTCGCGATTTTTCGCGATGCTGTAAGGCGGATGTCTTTGGTTGCCGCTCTCAGCCAGGCCCTTGGAGCGTCCAAAGACGACTCGGGATGAAAAGAAAGCCCTGGGGAACGGGTCGGGACTTCCAGGGACCTCGCACTGAAAGAATCAGCCCAGACATCCTCCGACGTCATTTTGTCAACCCGTGGCCCCAGAGGTTGAGACCCCCTCCCCGGGGGGGGGCCTGGCGTCGCGGATCCAGTTCTGGTGGCGCCACGAGGCCCGATAACGGGTCTCGCAGGCCGAAATCGAGGAGAAATGCTTGGACCGAGAGTAGAATTCCCTCGGAGATTTGGTGTTTCTCCTTCCCCGATCATGTGGATCTTCGTCCGCAGTCTGGCCCCTCGCGAGGTTGGACCGGGGGGGGCCGGACCGCCCGTCTTGAGGGGGAATGTTTCTTAGGGCGGAACGGCTCCAGGGGGAGACGTCGAGCTAGAATTAAGATGTCGGTGGCGGGCTACAGGGGGTGTCTTCCCTTAAGTGCCAGAACATCGTAAAAAACATGGCATGGGATAAGTAAGGAAGCTTTTTCGGCGATAGGTCGGCGATACGCCCGCGATAGGTCGGCGATGGGCCCCCCGGTAGATCCTCGGAGATCTGGGCCTGCATCGGATCCCTGGGCGCAGCCAGGGCTCCTCCTCCTCCTCCTCCTCCTCCTCCTCCTCCTCCGCCTGCTCCTCTTCCTCCTCCTGCTCCTCTTCCTCCTCCTCCTCCGCCTCCGCCTCCGCCTCCCCAGCAGCGCTCCCTGGCTGCGTGCGCAGCGCCCGGCACGCCCCAGGCACAGCCTTCGAGGTGCCTAGGCAGCGCCCGTTTGCCGAGAGCTAGTCCTGAGATCTGGGCGTTGCAATTTGTTCACGCCGGGCGGCAGAGACCATCACAGACCGATCTGGCCTGAAAACTTGGATGGAAAAATGGGGTTCAGGGCCCCGGTCGCGATGTTTCGCGATGGTGCGATCTTTCCACGACGTCGGATCAGGTCTCGGGGAAGGGACGCTGCTGGCTCGGGGGTGTCTGCAGCTATTCCCTGGATTCGCCGAGCCCGTCCGTCCCAGCAGGGCAGCAGACGGGGGCCTCGCTCCGTGCTGGAAATCCCCTGCGGCAGGGTTTCGACGGTTGTCCCCGCTGGCCTCAGCAGGCCCTCAGGGCAGCCCAGGGCGTCGTCAAACCCTTGGCGCCGCCTCTGGCGGCGCCCCGCAATCTTCTTCGCGATCTTGCTGAGGCCAGCCTGGACTACGGGGCCGTCTGCGCGCAGCCTTAAGCCTTGCCGCGCCAGCCCCGTTCAGCCTGAAGCCGCCGACGCCAGAGGTGCGCACGGTGCTGAATGCCTACACCCGCCCGCTAACGCCATTCGGCACGGACGCAGAGGTGGTCAAGAAGAGGTCCTCGATTGGACCGATGACCAGGAGGCCTTCGGTCGCAAGGAATTCGCTGGGGTCGCTGCAGCACCTGGACCTCGTGACCACCAATGCGTCCCCGGTGCGCCGCCGCGACGACAATAAGCTGCAGGCCGCCAACATCCTGCGCGATTTGGGTCAGCAGCTGCGCGCCTGTGGTTGCACCGAGGGTGCTGACCTCCCCGACGACGACGACGACGACGACGACGACGACGACGACGACGACGACGACGACGACGACGACCTCGACGACGACGACGAGCACCACGACGACGAGCACCACGACGACGAGCACGACGGCGACGACGACGATGACGACGGCGGCGGCGGCGACGGCGGCGGCGACGGCGGCGGTGACCGCAAAAATTCACGACCAGAGCCTTGGACCCCGTTTTCTCCGACACTTCTCGGGCCGGATCGATCTGTGATGGCCCTGGGGCCCGAAGCCGGGCGAAAACGCCCGGCGTGAACAAAATGCGCGGCGGCAAGCGGCGCGCTCGTGGTTGCGCCAGAGGTGCCGATCTCGGGGAACCCTACCTTGGCCAGCGGAGGCTCGAGGCCTCCGCGCTGCTGCAGGGCACCAGCCCGAAGTCCGACCTCTCGAGGCGTGACCTGCGGGTGCGGCAGGCGAAGGAGGGCCTCACGGACCTGAGGCTCCGGGGGAGAAAAATAAACAGGAGCAACATGCACATCCCTTTGGATGGCCTCTTGAGACCCCCGCTGCATGTTCGGTGAAGTCGGTTCCGCCATGTTCCGCCCCCGCACCCGGGGCCGAAGTGTTCCGCAAGAGGCTTACGCCAGTCTGCCAACACCCCGACGAAGTGAGGCGCCCATGGGTTTGTTTCACGCTTCGCGTATCCCCACCAGTCGGCATCCACATTCAGTACAGGTTGCAGCTCACGCGAGGCGCCGCTTAGTCCGCTTAGGCAGTTTAGGTTGTCGGCTCTAGTTCGCTGTGAACAATTAGTAGGCCCGCGCCCCGGACTTACGACTCGCCGTGTGCGCTTTCGCCCGCGGCCGCGACCAAAAAAGTATCCCCACCAGCCCGTCCATAAACCTTGACCACGGGAGCTGACGGGAAAAAGGACGATGATACACATAGTATAGTGAGACAAAACGGTCTCTAGGAGCAACGGGGTGGCTTTGGAGGGCCTCTTCGGGCCATCCTTGGGGCCCTCTTGGGGGCGAGGGGAGGAGGAAGAGAAAGAGGAGGAGGAGGATGAGGAGGAGGAGGCTCGACGTAGATGATCACGCGACCGAGTGCGAAAAACTCAGAGGCCGGCTGCAGTGCCATGATATCTACATCCAGCAGCAGGAGGTCAACCACGGGAACGCCGAGCCTGCTGGCAGAGCTCCGAGTGCGGCACCACGTCGCCTACAGGGACACTAGCGATGCTGCCGCCGCCCTTTGGCAGGGCCCAGCTGACGGAGTTCCACCGCTGGCATCGCCGAGTTCCTTGGGCACCATCCTCGCCGCGGCGGACGAGCACGAGCTCGCGGGGGGCCTTGCCGAGTCGCTTGCCACGCCACGGTTCGTCGAGTATTCGGGGCGAAGTTGCCAGGGGGGCACCCGCAAATTCGGACTCACGAAGGTGAAGCAAAGTAAACTCCCCGCTGGCCCTCCTCGTGTGCCGCCTCGCGCGGCCTCGTAGCTGTGGTGCCTTGCCAATGAAAAAGAGGAGGGTAGGGAGCGGGAGCTAACCCTCGCTTTTTGGTTCGTGCGCGCCCTTCCGCAGGAAGATCTGACTGGGCGAGTTTCCCTTCGTGCGAGGACACCTGCTCGGGAGCAGGATCGCGGCGCCAGCGGGGCTTTCTCAGCGGCCAGGGCGCCTTGGCATCGTGCAGACATGTCATGGAGCCTGGGGCCTCCGCCTGCACCGACGTCAGAGCTGCTCTTGAGGGGCGAGGCTGTCGAGCAGAAGTGGAGCCGAGCGGGACCAGGACCAAATTCATGCGCAGATGGCCATGGACGAACCCAGCCCATACGATGCGTGGATCTACTCGCGGACGCGCGCCCTCAGGACCGAGCTTCGGCAGCCCAGCGGCCTCAGCCAGCCTGGAGCAGACAGTGGTTCGTCTGGTGCCCCGATCCCATCGTCAACTTCGAGGAGGCCGTGGGATCGATCGGGGCCCCCTCGCATCCGCGGCAGCCGAGCAGAGCGAACCGCCCACGCCCGCGGAGCGAGAGGTAAGGAGAGCAATGGTCGAGGTCGACGCGGGCGAAGAGAGTCCGACGAGGACACAGGGGGGAGAAGCCCAGCGGAGGCGAGCCACGGCATGATCCTCAAGCCAGACCGAATGAGCCACTGCCATCGCCGCAGAGGCAACCTCCAGCGCGCCCGCCCCGATGGGGGGGAGGGGGCGGCCGTGGCACTCAGTTCGCGCCACCCGCGGGCGGCCGCTCCCGCGCCAGATGGAGCGCGTCGCCCCAGCGGGATGCCGGCGCCGATGGAATGGCGCGACAATTCGATTCTTTCGGGATGCCACTCCTCGCCCCCCGCCGCGATCGCCATAGCATGCGCGGCGGAGTCCGCCAAGGTGCTGCCCCTGATCGCGGAGGGGATCTGTTAGTGGGCGGCCCGTTTGAAACCGCGAAGGCGCGGCCTATCGTGGGCGCGGGGGCGGGGGATGAACTGGCGCGCGCAGGCTTTCTACAGTTCCCCTGCCGAGCGCGACTGGCACCGCGCCACGTGGGCGCGGCCGGCGGCGGAGGCGCTCGAGCTCAGCGAATGCGCGAGGTCGCGAAGACCGAGTGGCCAAGCGCTACTGCCGGCGAGGGCCACCGCGAGACCTCCGCCATCCGTCGTCGCGCGAGCTTTCCTCGCCGTCTAGCGTGTCCGGGCTCGTCGGCAGCCGGCGACTCCTCGACCGCTTCTCCGAGTCCGAGGAGGGCAGGGTCGCGTGGAGCCGCTTCGCCGACGCCGCGGTCGACCAGAGGCGACCAACGCGTTCGCGAGTCTCACGGGGCGGATGCGCAAGTTTCCCCGGGGGCCGCGTTGAGCTCGAGCGCGAGCGCCCCTCGCCGCGCCAAGTTTTCGCTGCAGTTTGAGGCCGCAGCTGAAGAGCCCCGCGCCGGCCAGGCCCTCAACTCCAGGCCCCCGACCGGCGCCGGTCCATTTGCATATTGGGCGAGAATTCGCTCAAAGACGTCGCGGCCCCTCCAGGCGTCGCCCGCGCTGCCGCCGACATCGACGACGGCGAGATGCACGCCGCGGCTGAGATGAGATTATCAATGCGCCCGCGCCAAGAGCGAGAAGTTCGGGCGCGGCACTTTTACGCCGATGTGTCCCATTCTGGCCGCGCGGAGTCCGCCGCGCTCGCGCTCGTCGTCGCGGCTGAGCGCGCCGCCGCCGTCAGCGAGCCTCGCGGAGCCCCCGCGGCTTCCGCGGAGGTGTTGCTGGCGGGCTGTCCGACGGTCTCCGCGACGTCGTCGACGGGGGGAACGTCAGCTCCATTGCTGCAGACTTGGCGGCTGTCTTCTGGGCGACGCTGCGGGCCCTCTCGCGCGCGTCCATTGCGCCAGTCTCAATGGCGCCCGACGCCCTCAACGCGACCGCCCCAGCCGCGGGAGGGTCGCAGAGCCATGTCCGCCCCAAGCTTCGCACGGTCATCCAGGCGCTCGCGGACCCGCCCCGCCGAAAGAGGCAGGTCAAGCGAGGGCGTATCAGCTGCCGCGCTGGGCGCCCCTGGAACGAGCTCGCCGACGGCCCGGCTGATCAAGCAGCGAATCGAGTCGTCGCGAACCTTAACCTCGACGCCGCAGCGAGCGCGGCCAACTACGAGCACATCGCGCGGGACCGGGCGGGGGCGGCGCAATTGGGGGCGCAGACTGCATACCATCCAATTGTAAATTGCAAGTTCTTCTAGGTGGAAACATGGGCGCGCCGCGCGCCGGCTGCCGCCCTGGGCGAGGTAGCGTCGGGGCTCGAGGTCAAGGTGGAGCTGATAGTCCAGTTCTGCGTTTTAATCATGTTGCTCTTCCCTGGTCGTCGCTGCTGGCGAGTCGCGGGGCACCTGGGCCTGTCGCGCGCCGGCGTTAGACCCGCGCCGGGGCATTTATTTGGCGCTCAGCTCTGCGCTCTGCGCGCGGAGCGGGGGGAAGGGGCGGGCGAGCGGGGGCGAAGATGGCAGCGGAGACAAGGGGCAGGCTTAGACGAAACAGCAAAAATTCTAAACAAAAGTAAAGGTCCACAGCGACAGGCCTGAAAACACCACAAGATAGCAAAAAAACAAAAAAAACGAACGTAAAGTAACGTCGCGCCTGTTGCGCGTCGCCCCCCCCGCCAAGAGCCCAGTGCGCAGCGCGTTTTTGCTGCGCCCAGGGCGCTGGGAAAAAGAGCCGAGCTGGTGGGGTTGCCGGGGCGAGCTATGGTTTGCGACGTCGCGCGCGTCGACGCAGGCTGCGGCCAAGTTGGGCCAGCAGGCGCCGGGCAAGGGGGACAGCCAACAGCGCGGTCGCCGCGCGCGGAGGCGATCGCCAAGGACGCCGGGGCGCTTGAACGCGACGCTTGGGCATTTTGCGCAGCTGTCGCAATTCTTTGGAGGGCGGCGTCGATGTCGAGTTTTCGCCCCCGCGCCCAGGGCCGAAGCGCCGCCCCCTCCCCCCTCATCCCCGGGGTCTTCTTTCGATTCCTTGCAGGCCGGAGTCGACGTAGAGTTTTCGCCCCCGCGCCCAGGGCCGAAGTACTATGCGCCCCCCCCTCCTCGTCCTCGGGGCATTTTCTCGATTCGTTTCTACGGGTCCCAGCGCGAAAGCACCCGGGTTCCCGCGTTCGCAGCGGCGACCCATCGCGAGAGCCAGCGCGAAAAAATCGAGACGTCACATCGCGCATATGCATGAATTTTCGGATGTCCATGACCGCGGGCTCCAGATGTCCGCGCGGGCCTCCGAAAATATTGCTCTTCGAGGAATCTTGAGAATCGCGACTTGCGGGCGACGCGCTCGTGGGCGAGTGCCGGTGCAATCGCTCGCTCGCCACATGCCCAGCACGCGCCCTGGGCGCGTCTCTGAGTTCTCGGCCCGAAGGTGACGCCCCGCGCGCTGGCCGGCGCGCCGGAAGCGCCCACCGTGCGCTATGGGAGCACCGCGTCGCGCCAACGCCGACGCCTGCGGCGTTCACTCGTTCAGAGGGGGCCATGCTCAGGACAGCGCGGCGTTCGGCGCCCGCGTCGCCGATGCCCTCGAATCGGGCGATTGGCATGCGCCAGCATGGACGCGCTACCCTGACGTAGAGAAGATGGAACGCCAAGCGGCTGCCCAGGAGCACGTCGTCGCGCCGCCCAGCGATTACGAACCAGAGGCAGGGGTTCCTTCAGCGCCCAGCGACGCCGAGCGCACGGCGAGTGCAGCCCCGGTTTCGCCCGGCCCTTCGCGCGTTCGCTTGCGCGCGCCTTGCCCGTCGCCCGCTCCGTCGCGCGCTGCGGCTCTGCGCCCGCTTCGCTGCCCGGCACGGGGCCCGCGGGCCCGCCGGGCGCAGCGGGCACGCTGGAGCAGAGCGTCGGCCTCTGCGCCTGGGACCGCGGCGGCGGGTTTGGCATGCGCCGCGTGCTTCGGCCAGCGCCCTGTCGCGCCAGCTGCCTGCGTCGGTCGACGCGGCGGATCGTCGATTCGGCTGGGGTGGCGCCTGGCCGCGGCCTCGCCAGACGTCGATCGGGCGCCGCTCCCTCCTCTTGGGCGGCATCGCTGCCGAGCGTCGGCGCGCGCGAGACTTCTCGGGCAGTAAGAACTTGTTACTGCTAGCCGTAAGTCGGGAGCGGCGGCGGGGGCGCCCCGCTGTCGGCGCCGCGCGCGACGGCGGGCGGCCGCGCGCCAACCCGCGGCGCGCCGCAGCTCCGTCGGGCGGGCCAGGCCCCCGCGCAATCGTTCTCTCAAGGTCTCGCGGCCGCGCGTCGCTGCTGGCTCCGCCTTCGCCCCTTGTTGCGCGCGCGCCTGCGCGGCCGCTCGGCGGAGTAGCAGGTGCCCGGCCACGCTATGGCGCCCCACCCGCCCGCGGTGCACTCTGGGGCGCGGCGGGGGCGACGCCCGCGCGCCAGCGCGCGTCGGACGCGACCGCGGTCGCGGCTAGTTTTATTCCACCCACCCAGCCCTTGAGGGGGGGCCATTGCCCATGTGTTTCGGCGGGGGCCCTGCCACGCCAACCGCCTGCGTCGACCGGGCCCCGCTCACCCCTTTTGGCCGGCATCGGTCGAGCGTCGGCGCGCGGGGGATCTGCGCGAGGAAAGGGTGCAACCAGCGCTGCGGGATAAGGTCCGCTCTGACCTTGGGAGGGGCTTGGCGCCGCTCGCTCTTCGCGCACCCGGGCGCAACTGAAGCCCTGAAGCGGCGCCGCCCCATGTGCTGAAGGTTTCTGGCGGCCAAATAAAACGGGCGCGACCCAGATTAGGGGTGGTCCTTCTTCCAGTGCAACCCGCAAGATTCGTCTGCATTGTTTGGCATTTCTCTACGTTGCATGGCATTGCTTGAAACTGTTGCTCGGCAGTGCTGGGCAACCCTCGGCAACGGGCAAGCCTGGGCAGCCCCGGGCAACGCCGGGGGGCGCCGAGGCAACCCCGAGCAACGCTGGCCGGAAAAATCGCCGCCCCCATCCTGTCACAGACGAGTGAGAACCGCTTGCAGAGCCTGTTTCGGGAATTCTGACTCCGCCGATAACGACGCGCGGCCGCGCGCAGGAGGGGGTGGGGGGGGGGCTTCTCAGCAGCGCCCGTGCTCCTTCGAAGGCGCGGGCCCCATTTGCGGGCGACGTCTTCTGAACAGCAGCCTCTTTCCAAGCAGCCTTCCCTCGCCCTCCCCCCCCTCTTGCGCGCGCCGCCAAGATGCCCTTCGCTCTGCGAGGGGCCTCGCCCGCGGGGTCTTCGTTCGAGCCGAGGGCCCGCCCGCGTCGCGCGCCCGCCCGCTGCGGCGGCGCCGCCCGGAGCGATGGCAGTTGAGCTTCGAGCGTTGAGCTGTGGGCGGTCTCTCGTTTCTGCTGTTCTGGACCCCCCCTGAGTCCTGGGCGCTGCTTTTTTTCGCGCGCGGCGTCTTCGCCGGGTTTCGGGCCTCGGGGGGCCATCGCAGAGCGATTTGGTTTTGAAATGGCGCAGGAAGATGGGGTCTAGGCCACCAGTCGCGATTTTCTTCGAAGTGGCACGTCTATGCAACTGCCGATCTCAGGATCTCATACTCAGGGCGGGCGACAGCGTCGCCCCGCCGATTCCAGATCCGGCAAGGAACCCACTTGTTCCTTGATCAAAGAAAAGCTAGCCAGCGATGTCGTTAGAGACTTGGCTGTCGGGCCATGAGTCGGCTCTCTGGCGGCCGTTCGGGGCGATCCAGGCACCCCTGGGGCGCCCTCGGCGAGGCGCGGTCGCTGGAAGACATCCCGAAGGTGAAAAGCAGCGGGAACCGACGAAAACGCCCGACTGGCCTCGGGGTGCGACAGGGAGGAGTTATTCATAAGGAATAGCAGCGGAAGAGAAGGAGGAGGAGTCCATATCCACCCCCCCGAGATGTTTTCCCGTCGTGGTCGCCCGTGCCCCCCTCAGCAGCGGCCAGCCGCCTTGGCCGATGTTCATCGCGCTATGGATGCCTCCCCTCTTTCCGCCACCCACGGCCGCCTTCCGCCTTCCTTGCCCTCTCGTGCCGCTGGACACGTAGCGACGTAGCACTTGTTATTCCATGCCTGGACTGTTTGAGCGCGCGTGCGGATTGCCTTTGCCGCGCTGCGACGGGAAAGCCGTGCGTGCCCCCCCTCCCCCCCGCGCGCCCCGTCAAGCGCCGGCTCCTAGTGCCCAGCATTACTGCCCGTGCTGCGACGGCGCGCGCGACAGGCACGGCCGCCACTAGGGTCTTTGCGCAGGCGCTGGGGACCGGGTGCTGCGACGCAACGCCGCCCGCAACCTGGTCGGTTGGTTCGCTTCGTCGGCCGACTTCAAACCGGAGCTGGAGCACCCAGGGCTCTTGCCGCCGTGGCATGACGACACTCAGGTCAACGGGCGTCGCCCTGCGGACGTGTACGTGCCATCTGGGTTCCGAAGGACACCTGCTGCTTTCGATTTTGCGGTATCTTCGCCGCATCGGCAGGCTGCTCTCGGCATGGCTCGGCTCGGCTGAGGGCGTGTTGCCCAAGCGCACGAGGCGACCAAGCGTGAGCACGTGGACACCGAGGCCCACTGCAGGCGGGTGGCGGAACCGTCGGGCGGATGGGGCCCCACGGGCGCGGACGCCCTCCGCCGCCTGGTTCGGTCCAGCGACGGACGCCTCGGAGAAGAGGCGGGCGCGGGGGCGGCTCGCCTTTTCCAGCAGCTTCCAGTGGCCATTCGCAGGGCCACGGCGCGGGCTGCGCTGCGTAGGCGCACAGAGCCCCCCGACCACGGGGGCGCGCTGTCCGCTGCTGTCAGCCTGCTGGCTGTTCCGGTCGACGACGACGACGTTTATAGCCTTCCTCGTCCCCCTCCTCCGTTTTTTCCGCCTCCTTCCTCTTCTGCCCCCCCTCCCTCCCTCGCGTTCCCAGAGGCTCGGAGTCGCGATGTTTTGCGGCGCGGTGCCCTGTCCGAGGTGCCCCGGCGGGATAGCGCTCCCCGCCAGGGACTTGCAAAAAATCCACCCCGATGGGCGCCGCGCCGCGCTGGAGTTTTTGTCGGCTGCCCCTCATGCCCGGCCATATTTTGTTGTTCGGTGTGTGTGCTCCCCCCTCTTTTTTTTTCTTTTCTCCTGCTCCTTGCTTCCCCAAGCGGGCGCGTGCGCGCCTAACGGTGGGGGTCAGTGGCTCAGGCCCCACGGCCGCGCGCCCGCTTCCTCCGACTTCCGGTTCCTCTCCCCCCCTCCGTCCGGTTTTTCCCCCTCCGGGGTATCCCCCCTAGTCGTCAGGCGTCCTCGCCCGCGCTCGGTCTTTCAACCCCCCCTTCCCCGTGGCATGTGGCCCAGGCGGCGGGGCCGGACAGGTGGTGTACTGCCGTTAGTTTGTGCTTGCACTGTCCTGTCACATTCGGATTTGTTCTCAACGAGTCGCACAGAGGTTGTTGAGGCTTCAAGAATGACGCAAAACGTTGCGCCCCGTTCGCCGCCCGCTCACGGGAGCCGTGGGCGGCGACATTGAAGCCAGCTAATCCTGCATTTGGGCCGCGGTTGGACCACCTTCGGCCCTTCCTCCTGCTCCTCCTCGCCCTGCCTGCTCTTCCTCCCCCCCCTTCCCCTCGTTCTCCTCCTCTCTCCCCTTTGGGAAGGCGCGAACCTGGACCACGTGCGGCCCTCCGGTCCCGCATGTGTGCCGAATACGGTCCGAAGCAAGCCCGCATCGGACGGCGCCAGGGGCCAGGGGCCGCGCGAGGGCGGATGCAGCTCGGACGACGGGGCCCTTTGAGATCCCCGCGGGCGCTCCACGGCTGCCTGCGCGAGGGATTGCGAAAAAAAGGAAGGATTGCAAAAAAACGAAGGATTGCCAAACAAAAAAAACGAAGGATTGCACAAAAAAACCCGAAAGCTATGTATCAGTCGACGGTCGCACATCCAGCGGGGCGGGCCTATTCAAGGACGACCCCCATCAGTGTCAGGATGCGCTTGGGTCGGCGCCTGAAGCTGAGCGAGACAGCCCCAAACCAAGACGTTGGGTCGACGGTCGCACATCCAGCGGGGCGGGCCTAGAGTCGGGGCGCTGAAGAAGGAACCCTTTTCGTTTGGGAGGGGCTCCGTGTTCCTTCATTGTTTCACAGTTTGCCCCACGTTTTACTTAGGGTGTCGATGGGCAATCGAAGTTTAACTAATGGGAAAAAGGGGCCTCTTTCCTTATTTAGGGGTCCTTAGATCAGCGCCCCGACTGTATTCAAGGACGCCCCCCATCAGTCTCAGGATGCGTTTGGGTCGGCGCCGCCGCGCGCAATCGGCGACCGTCCCGAGTCGTCCCCAGCCCCGAGGCAGCTGAACCACCGGGTGGCCAAGGCGGGGCGGCAGGCCGCGGCGCCCGTGGCGGTGGCTGGCCCGCGCGAGATCGCCGCGCAGCGCAAGGCGGCCCGCGAGGACTCCAAGGGCGCCGCTCGGGTGGGGGGGGGGGGGGGGCAGGCTTCTGGGGGGACATTACCAGCCTCGAACGTATCCCTATCCCTAAGATTGACACGCCAAGAGGCGATGACAATCTTAGGGATTCACCCTCAAAAAATAAGGGAATCCCTAGGATTGGCATCGTGATTAGGAGGAGCCCAGCATAGGGATAGGGATATGTTCCAGGCTGTTAAGGACAGGCTTCTGGGGGGCAGGCTTCTGGGGGGTGCCGTTCCAAGGGGCGGGGCGGGCTTCGGGGGGGCGAGGTTTCGGGATCTGCTGTGGTCGTCGCCCTCGTCCTCGCCGTCGCCGTCCTCGCCGTCCTCGCCGTCGTCCTGGCCGTCGTCGTCGTCGTCGTCGTCGTCGCCGCCGCCGTCGTCGTCGCCGCCGCCGCCGTCGTCGCCGCCGTCGTCGTCGTCGTCGTCGCCGTCGCCGCCGCCGCCGTCGTCGTCGTCGTCGTCGTTGTCGTCGTCGTCGTCGTCGTCTTCGTCGTCGTCGGGAGGGGAGGGGGGGGGCAGGCTCCGGGGCAAGGTTTCGGGAGTTTCTGCTGAGGCTTTCAAGGGTTTTTTCAACCAGGATCGCCAGGGAAGAAGCGGTCCTGAGATGTCCTGAGGGAAACCGGTCCAAGGTTTTCGCCATTTCTAATTTCCCGGGGCCCTCCACGGGCCCCGGGACTGTCAGAAAGCGGCTCAGGATGAAGACCTTGTCCTGGGGGAAGGCCCTTGGAGCGCCGCTCGGGGCGGAGTAAAACGACGCGAAGATCGGGACAAAATCGGATCGGGATACCTCGAAATCTCTGAGAATCGGCGGGTTTGGAGGATGTATTGGGCGCCGCGGCCGCTCCAGAGCGTTCCGGAACGCTCTGAGAGCGCTCCGGAACGCTCTGGAGCGATTTTTCCCGATCTTAGCCCTGTTTTAGGGAGGGGCAGGCGGCGGGCTCAAGGGCGAGGGCTCGGGGGTTTTCCAGAGGTCGTCGGAGGTCTTCGGGACCTGGGGTGCTGCGCCTCGTCGAGAGCGCTCCGGGCTGCCGGGGTCGTGCTCCGCGGCCGCCAGAGGCCCAGGCTCCTGGGGCGGCGAGCGCTGGAGGGAGCTCTGCGAGCGCTGCCTCGCTTCCACGGGTGTGGGACGGGTGCTCGCCCTCCCCAGACCCCCGACGTCACGATTTGTTCGTTACGTCGACCCCCAGAGGTCCCGACCCTCTCCCCAGGACCGGCTTCGCACCCCGAGTCGTTCCTTGCCGCTCCCGAGGCCCGGTGAGGGCCCCTGGAGGCCGAAGGTCAGGAAAAACCTCCCGTCATGATTTCTTCGTTGCTCGAGGGGGTCTGGGCCCCCGGGACCTCGCCGCCTGGCTCTCGGGCCACGCCTCGGCCTCCGGGCGCCGCTCGGGACCACCTGCAGCCCCCCAGGAGCGGAGGAGGAGGATGAGGAGGAGGACGTAGAGGAGGACGTGGAGGAGGAGGCGGAGGAGGAGGAGGAGGAGGACGTAGAGGAGGAGGAGGAGGAGGAGGGAGGAGGAGGAGGAGGAGGAGAGGAGGAGGACGTAGAGGAGGAGGAGGAGGAGGAGGAGGAGGAGGAGGAGGAGGAGGAGGAGCCCCGTGAGAGGAGGAGGAGGAGGAGAAGGAGGAGGAGGAGGAGGAGGAGGAGGAGGAGGAAGAGGAGGAGGAGGGTCTGGGTCGGTGGTTGGCTTGATGCTGGCCTCCGTGCGGTCCCTCGCCGGCGTGTCTCTGCACTGCTATCACGGGGCGGGCTCCGGGCGTCCGAGGCTCGGGACTTTTTGGGGGCCTAGGCGGCCTCGGCGCTGCTCGTCGGCCCTCCGGCCTCGGGGCGCCTTCCCGCGGCCGCGCCTCGCCGAGGGCTACGTCCTCCTCCTCCTCCTCCTCCCTCTCCTCCTCCTCTCCTCTCCCTCCTCCTCCTCCTCATCTCCTCCCTCCTCCTCCTCCTCCTCCTCCTCCTCCTCCTCCTCTCCTCCTCCTCCTCCTCCTCCTCCTCCTCCTCCTCTCCTCCTCCTCCTCCTCCTCCTCCTCCTCCTCCTCCTCTACGTCCTCCTCCTCATCCTCCTCCTCCACTCCTGGGGGGCTGCAGGTGGTCCCGAGCGGCGCCCGGAGGCCGAGGCGTGGCCCGAGAGCCAGGCGGCGAGGTCCCGGGGGCCCAGACCCCCTCGAGCAATGAAAAGATCATGACGGGAGGTGTTTCCTAATCTTCGGCCTCCTGGGGCCCTCACCGGGCCTCGGGAGCGTCAAGAAACGACTCGGGATGCGAAGCCGGTCATGGGGAGAGGGTCGGGACCTCTGGGGGTCGACGTAATGAAAAGAGCATTACGTCGAGATCTGCCCTGACTCCGGATCCGCCCTACTTTGGGGAAACTCGTAAGTAGGGCTTGGAATTTCCGCCCTATTTTTCAGGCCCCGCTGATGCCAATTTCCGCCCTACTTTTCTGCTGCTGCTTCCGCCCTACTTCTGTGGATTTCCACCCTACTTGATGCTGGGTGCAGAAGTGTCCACCCTACTTGTTCGGCTTCCTATAGGTGGATTTCCGACGCAGTTTGAAAGTTGGAAAAGAAGCCAAAGTAGGGCGGATCTGGAGTCAGGGTGGGGAGGACGCCTCTCGACCCCCCGGCCGCCCACTCCTCGCCGGCGGGGGCCCGGGCAGCGCACCCCGCCCAGGGGCGCGCGGCTCCGCCGCACGTGCGGGCTCGCCGTCGGGGGCCTCTCGTTGAGCAGTCGGGCGCGCCCCTCTACAGCAGGGAGGCTCCAAAATTGTCAAGCCTGAGCCTGGCGAGGGGCCCGACCAGATGCAGTTGCTTCGTTGGGGAGGGGCTCGGGGTTCCTTGATTGTTCTGCAGTCTGCCTTTTGCTTTCCTGAGCTTCTCCATGGGGAATCGAACTTTAACTCATGGAAGAAAGGGGCCCCGTTCCTTATTTAGGGTTCCTTAGGTCGACGCCCCGACTGTATCGTTAAGCAGTCGGGCGCGCCCCTCTGCAGCAGGGAGGTTCCAAAATTGCCAAGCATGAGCCTGGCGAGGGGCCCGACCAGATGCAGTAGCGAGCAGCGTCGTTGTAATTATGCACCGCACCCCGGAGGGCCACGAAACGCGTGAGGGGTGTGTCAAACTTTGTCCGGTGGGCGCGTGCGAAAGCAGCCACTGGGGCCGTCGGTGGAGCTCTCTATGGGGCCACGAAGCGCGTGAGAGGTGTGCCGAAATAGGTGCGGTCGGCGCATGCGAACGCAGCCACTGGGGCCGTCGGTGGAGCTCCTCCTGGGGCCGCGAAACGTGTGGTGGGTGTGCCGAATTGGGTGCGGTGGGCGCATGCCAACGCAGCCACTGGCGCCTTCGGTGGAGCTCCTTTGGGGCCACGAAACGCGTGAGGGGTGTGCCCGAATGGGCGTTGGTGACGCATGCGGGCGGTGGCACCAGGGCCTTCGTTGGAGCCCCCTATGATAGGGCCACGAAACGTGTGAGGGGTGTGACGACATGGTTGTGGGTGATGCATGCGGGCGGTGGCAGTGGCGTCTTCTGTGGAGCTTTTTATGGGGCCACGAAACGTGTGAGGGGTGTGCCAAATTGGGTTTGGGGGACGCATTCGGGCGGTAGCACTGGGACCTTCGGAGGAGCGCCTTATGGGGCCACGAGACGTTGTACTGGGTGGGTAAAACGCAGGGATGAGGGGGAGGAGGGAGGAGAAGGAGGAGGGAGGAAGGAGGGAGGAGGAACGCGGGGACCGTCTTCTCAAAGCGAGGACCCAGCACCACATGATGGCTGGGAAATTCTCTGGGCACGATTTGTGGACCATGTGGAGGGAGGAGGAACGCGGGGACCGTCTTCTCAAAACGAGGACCCAGCACCACAGGATGGCTAGGAAATCCTCTGGGCACGATTTGTGGACCATGTTTGCCCTCTCTGGCTGCACTTGTTGCACTATCTCTTACTCGCCGTCCACAGGGACGTGCCCTACTTATAAACCCTAAACCCCTCGCCGACGTGCCGGCGATGCCCCTGAACAGAAGGATGAAAGAAGAAAGATCTGTGATTATCAGTGAACGCATGCGCCACTTGTATATCAGACATGATCTAGCGTTACCATGCTTGACACCCAGACTTCCCCACACAAACCTAGCATCTCCCAACACACATGCTTGCTCTACTTGTCACGTTCTTATGTTGAGAACCAGGAGACCTCAGGGCGCTTCCCTCCAGAGCCGGTGCCCCCCCCGACCTGCTCTCCCCGCAGGACGGGCGGGCCCGCGCGCCCCGGTCCAACCACGCGCGGGGCCAGGCCGAGGACGAGGACCCCCGCGCGGCCGGGGGGCGAAGGGCCCCGGAGCTCTCCGAGGAGCCATATGCCTCTGCCGGTCCCGGCGAGGCAGAGCCCCGGAGCTCCGGGGGGGCGTGCTGCTCCTCGGGGGCGGCAGAGCGGGGGGTGACGACCACCCCTGACTCCAGATCCGCCCTACTTTGGCTTCTTTTCCAGCTTTCAAACTGCGTCGGAAATCCACCTATAGGAAGCCGAACAAGTAGGGCGGAGATTTCTGCACCCAGCACATAAAGTAGGGTGGAAATCCACAGAAGTAGGGCGGAAGCAGCAGCAGAAAAGTAGGGCGGAAATTGGCATCAGGGGGGCCTGAAAAGTAGGGCGGAAATTCCAAGCCCTACTTACGAGTTTCCCCAAAGTAGGGCGGATCCGGAGTCAGGGCAGGGGGGGGGGATATCAGATGTTCGGCTGATTCTCGATCGGTTTTAGACTAGATCGTGGTCTGGTCCGTTCGAGGTGGACCCACTTCGCCCGATTCACGATCTCGTTTAGACCAGGTCGTGATCTGGTCCAGCAGACCTCTTCCTCGTCACAATGGTCTAGATTGCGATCTAGTCCATTCCTAGATCGTGAATCCGGCCGATGCCATCAGGCGCGGGCCACGACATTTCCCCAGATGTCATGGCGCCTCTTCTTATTTAATCGCTTCGCTCATTCCGCCGGCCCATACAGTCTCATGTCTGCCGTTTGCCCGAGGGCCTGGTGTCAATGCGGCGCTTTGGGGGTTCCTGGGGCCGCTTGGGGGACTCCTGGGGCGCTCGGGGGGGCATTTGGGGGGCCTCCTGGGGCCGCTTGGGGGACTCTTGGGGGCCTCCTGAGGGCCTCGTGGGGGCCTCTTGGGGCCTCTTAGGGGCCTCTTGGGGCCTCGTAGGGGCTTCTTAGGGCCGAGGGCTCGAAATGTTGTTTCGTGTTCCCTCTCTGGGGCCCCTTTGGGGGCGTTCTTGGGGCCCTCTTGGACCGTCTTGGAGGCTTCTTGGGCCGTCTTCGAGCCCTCTTGGGCCATCTTGGGGCCCTCTTGGGGGCCTCTTGGGCCCTCTTGGGGCGATCTTGGGGGCCTCTTGGGCCGTCTTGGGGCGTCGGGAAGCCGAAAAGGTGGAAGCTCCAAAATCTCTCAAAAACCTAAGGAAAAACAATGAATTTTGCCTCCGGGGGCCCTCTTGGGAGTGCTCTTGGAGGCCTCTTGGGGCGTCTGGGGGCTATCTTGGGCGTCTTGGAGCGATCTTGTGGCATGTCGGACCCCTCGTGTACCATCTTGGGGGCCTCTTGGGGGCCTCTTGGCCTTTCTTGGGGCTCTCGGGGACGTCTCGGAGCCCTGTTGGTGCGCTCATGGAGCGCTCCTGGAGCGCTCTGGGGGACTCCTCCCGGGACTCTCTCAGGACCTTGCCGGGGTACTTTCCGCCCGGGGACCCCCAGGGGCCGCCCCGCGCGCGCGAACTAGAGAATTGTTAACCAGGTACCGGAGATCTTAGCACGCCTCTGGCCCGTTGGGCCGGCGAATTTCATTGCGTCCCTGGCCCCCCCGCCGGGCCGCGCACGTGCCGCCGGTCATGATTTGCCCCCCCCCCCCTTGGACACCCCCCTCTTGGCCGCCCCCGAGCTTCCCAGAGATCCGATGTCGTGATTTTTTTCCACGCGGGGTCCCCAGAAGTCTCGACCCATTCCCCGGGACCGGCTTGGCGTCCCAAGTCGATTTTTGACGCTCCCGGGGCCCGGCGAGGGCCTCTAGAGGCCGAGAACGGCGCAAAACCTCCGTCTTGATTTTTTCACTGCGCCATGGATCCCCGGCCGCCGATCCCCAGCGAGGAGGAGCCCCAGATCTCCGGCGAGGAAGCGCCCCCTGTCTCCGATCTCCCGGCGTTTCTCCGCCGGCGTCGGCCCCAAGGGCCCGCTCGTCGGCCCCCGGGGCCGCCGCAGAAGGGGCCCGGAGCGCACAGCGACCCGCGGACGGCAGGGGTCGGAGCTTCGGGCCTCGGGGGGCCGCGGGCGGTGGAAGCCGCGTCGGGGGCCCCCCCGACGTTCGCGAGGACGGCCGGCCTTGTCGGCGGCCGACGGTAGGGGTCGGAGCCTCACGGGGCCGCGGGCGGTGGAAGCCACGTCGGAGGGCCCCCCCGACGTTCGCGAGGACGGCCGGCCTTTTCCGCGGCCGACGGTAGGGCGGCGCACGGGCGACGAACGCGCGACGCACCCCCTGTCGCGAAGGCGGGGGGTGTCAGCACGCCGGTCGTGTCACTGGGCCTCAACATCGGGGGCCGTCTGGGGCCGCACGAGCACAAATCTCAGGGGTCCGCGCGGCTTCCTGGGAGATCCGCGCTGGGCCCAGGCGTGGCGCCTCCGGCGCCGCACCCGGCGCGCCCCGCGCGCCAGAGCGAGGCGTCCAGCGCCGATCCGAGAGCGAGCTCCGCGCGGACCTCCGAGCTCCGCAGCAGGCGTGCGCAGGCCTCCACCGCCGCCATGCCCGCCCAAAGCTGTCCCCCTCGGGCCTTCCAGGGTCCTCGCGGGTTCCCCGAGGTCTTCCCCTTCGTCCTTTACCCCTCTCCCCCTTGCGTGTCTGTACTAGCCTTTTGTGCGTGCAAAAGCGCTCCCACCTTCCCCCTCGTTCCGCTCCCAACATCCCATATGCCGTCCGATGGTGAGACAAAGCCACCCTCCCAGACCTCCAGCGCGTCGGGCGAGTCGAGCCGGAGGCCTGTCGTCGCTTGCGGGCTCCAGGGGGCTCCGCCGAGCCCCGCGACCGTCCAAAGAGAACGGCTCCAGACGCAAGGCCGGCCATGGGGAAAGGGGCGGGGCTTTTTGGGGACCCCGTCGTGAAAGAGTCTGTACGTCGGACCTCCAGGATGGATCCCGGGGCGGTGTGCGTGGGCATCTTGGCCTCGGCCAGGAGGGCGTGCGGGCACCGCTCCACCTCGCGCCGCGACGACAATCACGACGGGAGGTTTTCCTCGGATTTCGGCTTCCGTGGGCCCTCCTCCTTCATCCCCCTCCTCCCCGCCCTCAGCTGTTCTCCAGCTTAAATCCTCCTCCTCCTCCTCCTTCTCCTCTTCCTCATCCTCCCTCTCCTCCTCGTCCTCATCCTCCTTTTCCTCTTTGTCCTCTCCCCTCATTGCCGAGTCGGGCGTCGCCCAAGGTTGCTCGCTGAGCGGCACATTGTGGGCGCTCATCTTCGCCCCGATCATCCGTGCCATCAAGTGAGTCGCGGCCTCATTAGAGTTTGCGCTGACCGCCTAGGCATCATCCTAGCCGCCCTACGTGGCATCGAGAAGCTCTTCCCACATCTACAAGCTGCCCAACTCTTCGCTGGTCTTCACCTGCAGGCCGAGAATTGCATCGTTCTGACCTGGACGCTCTCCACCCCGCAGCAGCTGCATCAGATGCTCACCGACACCTACCCGCTGTGGCGCGACTTCAAGATCGCCAACCACGCGAGGTAATTACCTCGGCGCGTTCACTGACCTTGGCGCTTCTTTTTCCACGCAGCGGAAGAGTCCCTCCAGCAAGTGGTGGGCCCGAGTCCAAAGCCTCGGATACGCGCGCTCGCCGCTTCAGCAGAGCACCGAACTGCACAACGTTGCCGCGGCCACCCGCCCCGTCGCACAGCGGCCAGCTGAGGCCCACCGTCGCCATGCTTCCTCGCCAAAGAGTCGCCCGCGCTGCAGAAGTTTACCCGTGCTGCTCCGTCCACCTTCACCAAGATGGACATCCTCTCGCTCAAACGGTGGACTGGGGTGGAGATGCCTCGGGGACTCGAGACCCTGCTCTCGGTTACGGTGTGGCGCACTGCCATTCATACACTGATGACATGGCCTCACCTGTTTCGCCTCCATCGCGCAATTGCCGAAGATCGTCTTTCGGTCTTCCAGGTTATCGACGGACGCTGGTGCGCTGATTGTTGGGGAGACAAGCTCTCCTTTGCGCGGCGGTTCGAGATGATCGTGAACAGCCAGCTCTTCCCGACGTGCAAGGGGCCGATCCACAAGTCGCCGTCGGCTGAGGGTCGTAGCAGGGCTCAGCGTCGTGGCAAGGTCAAAGGTAAAGGACAAATGTCGAAACCGAAATCCCCTTCAACGGTACATTCATTTCAGAGCAGCCTTTACTTCGATGCCTTCGACCAGACCATCATCAAGCGCCTCAAGTCCTGGTTCCCGCTCCTCGGGCTTCAGTGGCGGGCTCACCCATTCCATGAATGTCAAGGAGACCAGCCCACTCAGCCTGATCCAGATCCCGAGCAATCGATTGCGCACATGAATGAGCATGCCGACGCGTGGGCTACCCGATGGATCCCGCGCGTGTTCTTGAACCCCAGCATCGACGACTACACCGACTGGATGCAATGGTGCGTCCCGTACTTGACGGGCGTCCATCGCCGCCCCCAGTTCGACGACATGTTCGGCCCCTGCCTAGACGGTGGCGGCCGCCGGCAGACTGCCGCTGACACTTGCGACAAGAACTGGCATGCTGCTGCACGTGCCTGCAGCCGTCGCATCATGATCAACTTGGCCGTGTATCCGTCCGCTGTCACACAGCGAGAATGTGACCAAAAATCTGCTGAACACGGCGCTTGCCGTCGCTGGCTTCTTGCGGGAGACGTACGTGATGAAGACCAATGGCTACCTGACGACACTGCGCGGGTAGGCGATGGGAACCCGCCCGCGGACATGATTGGCATCCAGAACTGGCCCCCGTCGCTGTCATCCGATTGGGCCACGCTGCGCCAGCATCTCTCTCGAGGGCCACCCTCAAAGCTGTGGCCAGTCCTCAAGACGCTGTCGGGCGCATGGACAACAAGCTACCGCATGCACGTCCACCCACACAAGCGCACGCAACTGCATCTTCGACTGCCCCGAGGTCAAGATCAAGCACAACATCGACGACATCGCGCACTACCTCGCATGCCCACGGATGTCGTTTCATCTATGCCAGCCACGGGGCTACGTCTCCGCCAATTTCCTCCAGCGCGCGGCGCTCAAGGGTGAAGTATCAGATGGCGAGAGCCACTTGACCACGCCACCACGCGCATGGCAGTCTCCTACAAAACCTTCAACTTGTTGCGCGTCCACAAGCAGAACGACCTGTACTACCTCCTGACCTGCGACACCGAGGTCAGGGCCGTGGACCACCAGGACAACTACCTGAACAAGGATGCCGCGGCTTTCGCCGTTGAGCGCCGTGCCCCGAGGCTGCCTGGGGCAACGCGGGGCCCCGCAGCCAACCATGATCGGATGGATCGTCTCCCTCGGCGGACGTTCGCTCCTCCTCCTCCTCCTCCTCCTCCTCCTCCTCCTCTCCTCCTCCTCCTCCTCCTCCTCCTCCTCCTCCTCCTCCTCGTCCTCCTCCTCCTCCTCCTCCTCCTCCTCCTCCTCCCTCCTCCTCCTCCTCCTCCTCCCTCCTCCTCCTCCTCCTCCTCCTCCTCCTCCTCCTCCTCCTCCTCCTCCTCCTCCTCCTCCTCCTCCTCCTCCTCCTCCTCCTCCCCTCCTCATCCTATTTGTTTCTCCTGCTCCTCCTCGTCCTCCTCCTGTTGCTCTGCGTCGTCCTCCTCCTCCTCCTCCTCCTCCTCCTCCTCCTCCTCCTCCTCCTCCTCCTCCTCCTCCTCCTCCTCCCCCTCCCTCCCTCTGGCGCAAGGAGGAGCCGAGCGAGGAGGAGCTGTCCTCCAGCGAGCGCGAGGCGACCAGGAGGCCCGCGGAGCTGCCGATCGTGGGGAGTCCTCTGGACCGCAAAGCGGTCGTCGAGAGGCTGCTGAAAAGGTCGACGCCATCATCCCGAAGAAGAAAACCACACAAGCATAACCTTTCGGAGATCCGCTCGGCCTTCTCGGATCCGCGCTGAACCCCCCAGCGGCGGCGCCAGAGGTGCCGCCAGCGGGACCCAGCGCCGATCCAAGAAGTCCGCGCGGACCTCCGGAAAAAGGTTTTGTTTGCTTAGATGGCGTTTTGTTCTTCTACCATCGGTCCACCACCAGGCCCTTCACTCCGCCCAGTCTCCAGGCGGGTTCGCCGCCGACACGAAGAAGTCCGGCGCGGACCACTCGCCCAAGCCCGAGGTTAGCGCAGGTCAGGATGTGGCGTTCGAGGCCCCAAGAAATGGGTCGTCCTCTGCCAGCGATGCTGGTGAGACGCCCCTGGAGGCGCTCCGTGGGCGCCAGGTCCACAGGTGCTCGAAGAAAAGAAACGCCGTAAACATACACTTTCGAAAGTCCGCGTGGATTTTTCGGACCGGCGCTTGCCCACTCAGTGGCGCCTCCGGCGCCGCCCTTGTCGGACTGATCCAAGAAGCTCGCGCGGACCCTCGACAAATTGCGTGTGTGCAATGATGCTTTTCTTCTTCCAGGTACGGCAGCCCCAACAAGCAGCTCTCGAAAGAGCGGCTGCAGTTGACAAGGGCCTTCGTTGTCCACAAGGACGCCCTCGGCGAGGTGCACAGGGACTCCGTCGTGAGGGCGCTCGAGTCCTACTCTGGCACCGCCGTGCACCCAGAGCTGGCACATGAGGCGTACGAGAAGGTCATGGCGTACAGCAGCAGCAACAACGACGACGACAAGACCATGAACAGCAACAACAACAACAACAACAACAACAACAACAACAACAATCACTTTACCCGAACGCTCAGTGTTCTCACCAGTGCCAGGGTTTTCATGCGACGCCAGCCAATACCCCCACTTTGTGGGGGGGCAGTGCAAGCTCTACCAAATATCCACACGACTCTTCGCCACCACCCACACCCAGCTTCCCGCCCTATGACGTTCGGACACTTCACTTCGTGGCCTGCGGACGACCGTGGCTACTACACTGGCGTGGAGTACACACCCACAGAAGTTGTTAAGCCTACGTTCGTACACCCACAGAAGTTGTTAAGCGTTCGTGTGATTTTATGATGCGCGGTGCTAAAATTCTTAAGAAGCCCAATGGTTTTTGGAGATTTCGGCGTGCGCGCGCGAAGAAAAAACGAATGTGTCCCGCATGGTATTATTTGACAGGGATGATGGCCCTGGCAGGTGCGCAACCGTTGTCGCAGAAGTTCGAAAAAGTTGCTCGCAAAAGCCCGTTTGACAGAAATGTTTAAAAAGTGTTGGGTTTCCTACGAATCCGCAAGAGCGCGCGGGATGAGATTTTGACATTTTTTTGTTGAAAAACCATTGGTTTTTTGATGTTTTTATGTTAAAATCGCTCCGAACACTAAGCTTTTGGAAGGATTTCGTCTTGCGCGCGCGAATGTCCACTTTACCTTATTTTTTGCAAGGGATTCTTGAAATTTGATTATATTAGAACAAGAAATGTCATTTTATAGTGTTTTTTGCAAGGGAAAGCGGGGGGGAACAAAACAACCGGATCTTGATCACATCGAATTACCTGAGGCTTCCTCACGAAAATGATGAAAATGTAGCTGCGGCCTAGGCGGCGCAGGGGGGCCGTGCACCAGGGGTCCCAACAATAATTATTCTTTAGAATTAATAATGTTCAATCATGTTAAGACTGTTCGCTCTTACTGGCACGCGTGTCTTACATTCCGTATACCCCAACCTTCGATACCCGCCCACTTCGTCTTCGATTGCACCCCCCCTTTCGGGGAGAATCTTTTCCTTGTCGGCCACTGACTGAAGTTCGAAGAAGTCTCGAGCTAGAGCGCCGTTCCTGAGTTCGGGGGCCCCTCTGGCCAGGGGCTCTCGGATAACCAATGAAGAAAATCGAACGGGAGCCCTTGTCGCCGTGTCCGGGCCTCCACCAAGTTGCCTGAATTACGGGAAAGTCTCGAGCGAGAGCGCCGTTCCTGAGTTGGGGGGGCCTTCTTGGCCAGGGGCTCTCGGAGTAAATCGTGAGGAAGTATCGAACAGGAGCCCTTGTCGTTGTGGCTGGGCCTCCGTCAACTTAGTTGAATTGCGAGGAAGTCTCGAGCGAGAGCGGCGTTCTTGAGTTCAGGTGCCTCTCTGGCCAGGGTGTCTCGGGGTAAATTGTGAGGAAGTATCGAGCGGGAACCGTTCTTGTCGTAGCTGGGCTTCCAAAGGCCCACATTCGAGCGGGAGCCTCGCTATCCGAGAAAATATAGCAGGCGTCGAGGCGAGAGCGCGCGGAACCGCTTCTGGAGACCAACAACAACAAGAACAACAACAACATCAACACCACATACAACAACAACAACAACAACAACAACAACAACAACAACAACAACAACAACAATCATTTAAGACTGGGGACACTCCGTTCTCACCAGTGCCAGGGTTTTCATAGGAGGCGGGCAATACCCCCACTTTGTGGGGGGGCCGGTTCAAGCTCTACCAAATTTCCAAACGACTCTTCGCCACCACCCACACCCAGCTTCCCGCCCTATGACGTTCGGACACTTCACTTCGTGGCATGCGGACGACCGTGGCTACTATTCAGGGCCCCGCGGCCGACGACGACGGCGTGCGCGCGCGAAGAAAAAACGAATGTGTCCAATATGGTATTATTTGACAGGGATGATGGCCCTGACATGCGCGCAACCGTTGTTGCAGAAGTTCGAAGCAGGTGAAAAAGTTGCTCGCAAGAGCCCGTTTGACAGAAATGTTGAAAAAATATTGGGTTTCCTCAGAAATCCGCAAGAGCGCGCAAGATGATTGTTTGAAACTTTTTTTTTGAAAAACCATTGGGTTTTTTCATGTTTTTATGTTAAAATCGCTACGAAAACTAAGGTTTTGGAAGGATTTCATCTTGCGCGCGCGAGTGTGCACTTCGTGTCATTTTTTGCAAAGGATTCTTGAAGTTTGGTTATGTTAGAACAAGAGATGTCATTTTATAGTGTTTTTTGCAAGGGAAAGCGGGCGTCAACAAAACAACCGGATCTGGTATACCCCGTTTTGCCTGAGACTTCCTCACGAAAATGATGAAAATGTGGCTGCGGCCTAGGCGCGGCGGGGGGGTCGTGCACCAGGGGTCCCAACAATAATTATTCTTAAGAAGAAATAATGTTCAACAACAACAACAACAACAGCAGCAGCAGCAGCAACAACAACAACACCAATCAGTTTAATACTGTTCGCTCTTAAATGCTCGCGTGTCATTCAATATGCATATCCCAAACCCTGGATACCCGCCCTCTTCGTTTTCAATCGTACCGCTTTTGGGGGGGGTATATTCATTCCCTGCCACGTGTGGTTGGTGAAGCCCTTGAAAACGAAGGGTAACAGATAATGGGGAAGAATGAAGACGAAGGGATCGGAGGAAGGGGGGGGAGGGGCAAGAAGGAGGGAGGACGATGATTTGCGCTGTGAGTGGCGACTCAGCTTGCGCCATGGCTTGCGCCAGCCACTCCAACAAAGGTTACCAATAATTTTCGCCATGGGTCGCGCCATAAACAGCGCCACGTATCACCCCCTTGGAGAAAAAAATCTTGGATACCCCCCACGGGGGGACGTACAGCTGCGAACTGGTGTCAGAAACAAATGTCGTGGAACCTATAAAAGAAGCGCGATGTGGGGAGAGCGGGACGGAAGGATAGTGAGATCTGCAACCGTGCCGAGAGGAGCGCGGGGATGTGGAGTGGATTGGGATGGAGTGGACAAGAGTAGGGTCTCAGGAGGACGAGCGGCAAGGAGTGGAGACGAGGAGTCGGGAGGAGTGCGGAGGAGTGGGGGGCGCACGGAGGAATCTGGAGGAGGGACTGGGAATAATTTTTGGGAAATGCGGAATGCGAGCGGGAAAGGGTGGAGATTGTTGGGGTGGGATGGGGTGGCCTGGGGAGGAGTGGGCGGAATGCGAAGAACTAGGGAATAGCATAGTGGAGTACAAACGAAATGAAAATTAAGAGAAAGGGAAAGAGATGAAAAGACTGGGAAAGAACGTTGAAAAGTGGGGTCAGGTGGATACGAGCGGAGACTGGTGCGGAAACAAGGCGCGGGGGGATTGGAAGGCGCCCGAAAACTTCCTATAACCGCAGAACGTGGGCCACTGAGCGCAGAAAGTGGGCCACGAAGGGCAGCGAGGGGGCCACGAATGGCAACAGCGGGGCGACGAAACGCACGCGCATGGGACCACGAAGGGCGCGAGCGAGCGGGGGCCACGAAGGGCAATTAATCCGGGGCCACAGAGTGCAACGACCGGGCCGCTGAGGGCAGAAACGGGGCCACGAAGGGCAGAGAGGGGGGCCACGAAGGGCGACAGCGGGGCCACGAAGGGCATGCATATGGGGCCACAAAAGGCGACAGCGGCGCCACTGAGGGCAGCAAAGGGGCCACGAAGGTCAGCGAGAGGGCCACGAAGGGCGACAGCGGGGCTGCGAAGGGCAAGCGTATGGGGCCACGACGGGCGACTGCGAGCGGGGACCACGAAGGGCATATACTGCGGGGCCACAATGGGCAGCGATGGGGCCACTGAGTGCAGCAACGAGGCCACGAAGGGCAGCGAGCGAAGGCGACCGCAGAACCAGTACGGGCAGCGAGGGGCATCGAAGGCGGGAAAAGGGCAGCGAGCGGCGACTGCAGTCCCTAACGGGCTGGTCGGGCGGGCAGGCCCAGACGGGCGGGTCGAGCGGGCGGGTCGTTGAAGCGTAAATTATGCTTGAACCGCCAGGCAATTTGCATCGGGGGCGCGATTCCTGAGTGTCGAGGAGCGGCATCTGAATAAATTGTGAGGAAGTATCAGGCGGGAGCCGCGATTCGGTGGTAAGTAGCGAGAGCGCGATTCTTCAATACACTGTGGGGAAGTGTCAAGCGGGAGCCGCGATCCGGTGGCAAATTGCGAGGAAGTCCAAAGCGAGAGCGCGATTCTTTAATACATTGTGAGGAAGTATCAGGCGGGAACCGTTGTTTTTGTAAACCAGGGGCCAACAACACAGTTTGACCTTCAAGACTTTCCCTTATTAAAAACAGGGTGCGAGCCCCAGGAAAGGCATTTCTATCGACAAAAAACAATGTGCACCGGACGGGGGGGAATCAACAACAATTAGTCTTCAGACATGAGAGTTCAACAACAACAGCAACAACAACAACAACAACAACAACAACAACAACAGCATCAACAACAACAACAACAACAACAACATCCTCAATATCACCACCACCAAGAAGAACAACAGCAACATCACCAGCATCATCGAAGATCAACAGCATACCCATCGCCAACACCATCGCCATCTCATCAACAGCGTCATCATCATGAAGGTCACGACGTACAACAGCCTGAACCTGGATGAGTTCATACGCTTCGCCGCCCTGTACGAGGCGCACGAGGATCCCTGAAGAAAACGGCACAGGCACAAATTTTCGGAGGTCCGCATGGAGTTTTTGGATCTGTGCTGGGCCCTCCTGGCAGCGCGCCTCCAGCGCCGCCCTTGGCGCGCTCCGCGCAGCAGGGAGGGGTGTCCAGCGCCGATCCGAAAAGTCTGCGCGGACCTTCTGCAAGTTTAGGTCCACAGCAGGCGCATCGAACAAGAAGCCAGCCTGCCGGCAGGTGCCCCGCGGAAGCTTCCTGTCCCCCGATGGCCCCCGGGGGGGGGGGGGGCCACAGAAGCGCTGGGGCACCGCAGGGCCCGCCACGATCGACGAGGAGGAATGCGCCCCTGTGATGGCCAAATTTTCCACCACCACTACCAGATATAGGACGGGGAAGAAGGGAGGACGAGGAGGTCCTCCTCCTCCTTCTCCTCCTCTTCCTCTTCCTCCTCCTCCTCCTCCTCCCTCCTCCTCCTCCTCCTCCTCCTCCTCCTCCTCCTCCTCCTCCTCCTCCTCCTCCCTCTCGTACCTATGGTAGTGGTGGTGGAAAATGTGCCCATCACCCTAGATGTCTTCTGGCCGGATCTCTTATCGCACGTGCCTGCTGTATGCGTAGTTGCCGTTCTTGCTCTTCTCTTTCCCCATACAGGAGGCCGCGCTCACGGCCCTGTTTGCGCAGCTGGGCGCCAAGGGGGGTCGACTGCCGACGGCCGGCATCGAGAAACTGCTGGCTTCATGCGGCGTCACGCCCATGAGCCACGTGCTGCAGGCAACCCGAGTAATGAAGAACCGTTCAACAACGCAAAGCATCAGACAGCAGAGGGGAGAGCGACAAAACAAATGCCAGCTAAAGACAACAACAACAACAACAACAACAACAATCACAACAATCACAACAAGCACAACAACAACAACAACAACAATCACTGCAATCACAACAACAACAACCGCCACAACAGCAACACCAACAACAGCAGCAACAACAACAAGCGCACAATCAATAACAATAACAACAACAACAACAACAACAACAACAACAGCAACAACAACAGCAGCAATAACAACAACAACAACAGCAATCAGCTTACCCTCATGCGCGATGTTTCCACACGAAGCATGCAACCATCATGATAACCATCCCCATCATGGGGGACTATTGTTCTATAGCGGGATCTGTTATTCCAATTCCCAGATCTCCCGCCCAATGAGGTCTTGCAAGCACTTCCTCCGAGGAGTTTCAACATATCCCGCCTCGGAAAAGCATGCCCGCGCCTTGCTGCGCCGATGCGAGACCGCCAGTGGAGCCCGAGCCAAGGGTAAAGCACAAGGAAGCATCGAGCGACAGGATTGCCTTGGTGGGGATGGGGGCTGTCGGCGGCGAGGCAAGGACCTGGCCCTGAATAGAAAGGAAGGAAGTCTCGAGCAGGGCCGTTGTTGTTGCTGGGAGCGGCGCCAATGCTGAAGAGAGTAGGGCGCTAGTCCAGCGTACAACAAAACGAAGTCTCGAGCGGGAACGCTGGTTTTGTTGGGACGGCGGTTGTCGGCGGCGAGGAGGAACACCGCCTTGAGTAATAACGGAGGAAGTCTCGAGCGGGAGCCGTGGTTTTGTCAGGACGGGGGCTGTCGGCGACGAGGAACCGCACCGTCCTGAGGAAAAAGGGAGGAAGCCTCGCGCGGGAGCGTTGTTATTGCTGGGAGCGGCGCCAATTCAAAAGAAAGTAGGGCGCCAGTCCAGCGTAAACCGGGAAGAAGTCTCGGGCGGGAGCGCTGGTTTTGTCGGGACGGTGGTTTCCGGCGGCGAGGAGGAGCACCGCTTTGAGTAAAAAAGGGAGGACGTTTCGAGCGGGAGCGTTGTTATTGCTGGGGGCGGCGCCGTTGAGAGAAAGGGTAGCGCGCCAGTCCAAGGCAAAACGGGAGAAAGTCTCGAACGGTACAGCTGGTTTTGTTGGGACGGCGGCTTCCGGCGACGAGCAAGAGCACCGGTCTTGAGTAAAAAAAGGAGGAAGTCTCGAGCGGGAGCGTTGTTGTTGTTTGGGGGCCGGTTTTGGCGCCTCCCCAAACCGCTCGAGCGTGAGCTTCATGTTCAATGAACATGTAGCCGGCGCCGAGGCGAGAGCGCCAAAGCGCGGGGGGGGTCCAACAATAATAAGTGTTTGGTAATTAACAGTCAACAACAACAGCCTCAACAACCACAACAACAACAACACCTTGCAGCAGCAGCAACAACAGCAGCAACAACAACAAGCTCAACAGCAACATCATCCTCAACATCAACAACAACAGCATCAATCCTTAAAATATGTTCGCTCGTATCTGCTCGCGTGCCACTCAACACGTGTATCCCAAACCCTCGATGCCCGCCCTCTTCGTCTTTGATCGTGCCCCCTTGGGGCTATATTTTTCTTATCTGCAACGTGTATTTCGCGCAGCTCCCAAAGCTCGGGAAGAGAGGACGGATGGAAAGAAGGGACAAGGGGGATGGAGGAGGATGGAGCACGAGAGTGAGTAGCAGGAGAGGGGCTAGGAGCAGAAAACACGGGGCAAAACCAAACGGACAAACCGGGCAAGCAGACCCGGACGGGCGGGTCGGGAAGGAGAGCCCAGGTGGCCAGTTCGAGCAGGCGGGTTGTTGAAGCGTGACTCCTGCATGAATCGCGAGGAGGTCTCGAACGATAGCGCGATTCCCAAATAGATAATGAGAAAAGCCAGAGCGAGAGCGTGATTCTTAAATGGAGAGGGCGCGGCGTCTGAGTACATTGTGAAGACGTCACAGGCGAGAGTGCGATTCTTGTATAAATTGAAAGGATGTCCCGCGCGAGAGTGCGAGTTTGGAGTACTTGTGTGGAAGTATCAGACAGGAGCCGTTGTTGTTGTAATTCGGGGGGTAGGGGCCCAGTTTGACCTTCAATATCTCCCGTGATAAGAATCAGGGTGCGAGCCCTGGGATGGGCACTTCAATGTGAAAAATATTATTCACTGCGTGGAGCTCCCCATGTGTGCATCTACTCGCATGGACCTGTCCGCCGTGAATGTCTAGGCGCAAGAGCTTTCGAATATTAACGGGCTTCAGTTGTGACGGTCTGGACATCAATCTAACTGCGAATGAATTGGAGTGTGAATGAGCCTCAGTAGTACGAGCGCGTCTCTGTGCATGAGCCTGGGGCCTCCTGGGGCCTCCTGAAACCTACTGGGGCTTCCTGGGGTCTCCAGGAGCCTCTTGGGACCTCCTGGGACCTCCTAGGAAGGTTTCGTGCCCCAGGAGAGGCGCAATCTATAGCAACAGACGTACATAAAACATTGCGGATTAGAGCCACAGGAGAAGGGCAATCTATAGGAACACGCGTAAAACACCAAGGACTCGTGCCCCAGGAGAGGCCCAATATATAGGAACATGAGTAAAACATTTAGGATTGTGTACACAGGAGAAGGACCATCTATAGAAACATACGTAGAACATCAAAGAATCGTGCTCCAGGTGAGGCCCAATCGATAGGAGCATACGTAAAACACATGGGATTGGAGCCACTCCTGTTGCCTTCTGAGGCCTCCTGCTCCTGGGGCCTCTCGGGGCCTCCTGTTGCCTTCCGAGGCCTCCTGGCGCTTCCTGTTGCCTCCTGGGGCCTCCTGTGGTTTCCTGAGGCCTTCTGGAGCTTCCTGGGGCCTCCTGGAGCCTCTTGGGACATCCTGTGGCCTCTTGAGTCTTTCTGTGGCCTCCTGATGCCTCCTGGGACCTCATGTGGTCTCCTGGGGCCTCCTGGAGCCTGTTGGAGCCTCCTGTGGCATCCTGAGAAGAATCTGCGCCCACGAGCCTAGCCACCAAAACAAGCAAACCGATCGAGACATCCTCAAAATCTGGCCCACCTGGGGGGTGAAAATGAGCGCCTCGCTCGAGACATCCTCCAAATCTGCTCCGAAAGCGAAGGATGTTGGGCCCAGAAACAAGCAAACCGCCTGAGACATCCCCACAAAATGGCCGCGAACGAGCCCGTGCAACCACCCCTGGCGGCTCCCCTTAGGGGTGCTGAAACCAGCGCCCCGCCTGAGACATCCTCACAATCCGCTCTCCAAGCGAAGGATGTTGGGCCCAGAAACAAGCAAACCGCCTGAGACATCCCCACAAAATGGCCGCGAACGAGCCCGTGCAACCACCCCTGGCGGCTCCCCTTAGGGGTGCTGAAACCAGCGCCCCGCCTGAGACATCCTCACAATCTGCTCTCCAAGCGAAGGATGTTGAGCCCAGAAACAAGCAAACTGGGTGTGAGTAAGTCTGTGTATGAGTAAGTCAGTGTATGAGTATGTCTGAGTGTGAGTAAGTCTGAGTATGAGTAGGTCTGAGTATGAGTAAGTCTGAGTATGAGTAAGTCTGTGTATGAGTAAGTCTGAGTATGAGCAAGTCTGAGTATGAGTAAGTCCGACAGGGGGGAGGAGGAAGGAGGAGAGGGAGTAGGAGGCGTCCAAGTAATTACTCGACACGGGGCTCCCCATATGTGCATCTCATTCTCTTGGCACATCTTTCCAGGGATTTCCATGCATATCAATCCCTTGGTAAGTCTTTCTATGGGTATATGTCAAGGGGCGCCTCACGACACGCGAAACGTAGATTGTAACGCTCTCTGAGCGTGATAGGATTGTTTTACACATCCTTGCTGACGCGTCCTCCGTTTGAGTGTGAGTGGGCATGAGTGTGGGCAACATGCTCCCTACTTACAGCACTGCCTGCTCGCTCGAGACATCCTCACAGCCGGCAGGGAGAGAGAGAGAGAGAGGGAGGGAGGGAGAGGGAGGAGGAGGAGGAGGAGGAGGAGGGGGGGAAAGAGAAAATAGAACGCGGATTTTTCCGTGGCAACGAAATGCAAATGACTCCTTGTTCCATTTCTGGAACTCCCACAAATCGCGCATCATCATCATCATCAGCATCATCAGTGCCGGAGCCCGAAACGGGCCTCCAGACCTCGAAGTTCTTCGAAGTTCCTCCTGCTCCTCCTCCTGCCCCTCCCCGTCCTCCTGCTCCTCCTCTTCCTCCTCCTCCTCCTCCTCTTCCTCCTCCTCCTCCTTCTGCGCCTCCTCCTCCTCCTCCTCGATTATCAAAAAAGCGGCGCGGCCATCGTCGTTGCGATCATCATCATCATCATCATCATCATCATCATCATCATCATCATCATCATCATCATCATCATCACCGTCATCATCATCATCACCACCACCACCATCATCATCATCATCATCATCGCCATCATCATCATCACCAGCATCACCGTCATCATCATCATCATCATCCCATTCTACTGCTCCTACTCGTGCTCATGCTCGCCTCCTTCTCCTCATCATCGTCCTCCTCCTCCTCCGCCTACTCCTACTCCTACTCCTCCCCTGCCTCGTCCTCCTCCTCCTCCTCCCCAGTCTCCTCCTCCTCTTCCTCCTCCCCATCATCATCATCATCATCATCATCATCATCATCATCATCATCATCATCCTCCTCCTCCTCCTCCTCCTCCTCTTCCTCCTCCTCCTCCTCTTCCTCCTGACTCCTCCTCCTCTTCCTCCAAATCTGCTCCGAAAACGAAACATGTTGGAAGAGAAAATGACCAAACCGCCTGAGACATCCCCACAAAATTCCGCGAACGGGACCCCGTGAAATACCCCCCCGCCGCCCCCCTTAGAGTGCTGAGACGAGCGAATCGCCTGAGACATCCTCCAAATCTGCTCCGAAAACGAAACATGTTGGATCAGAAAATGGCCAAACCGCCTGAGACATCCCCACAAAATTCCGCGAACGGGACCCCGTGAAATACCCCCCCGCCGCCCCCCTTAGATTGCTGAGACGAGCGAATCGCCTGAGTCTGAGTGATGACTGAGTCTGAGTGATGAGAGAGCATGAGTGAGTCTGAGTGATGAGTGAATCTGAGTGGTGAGTCTGAGTGATGAGTGGTGTGTCTGAGTGAGGACTGAGTCTGAGTGATGAGTGAGTCTTGATGAGTGAGTCTGAGTGATGAGTGAGTGGGGAATCAAAAACCCCATCTTTGGATATGGGGAATCAAGAACCCCATCTTAGGATATGGGGAATAACTTACGTGTGTGTCTGAGTGATGGGTGTGGTGTTCTGTCCTGTTCTGTGTCCTTCCGGCGCGGTCCGCCAATAACAAGAACCCCATCTTTGGATATGGGGAATAACAAGAACCCCATCTTAGGATATGGGGAATAATGTGCGCCGGAGGGGGGAGACCAACAATAATTATTTATCAGGAATGAGAGTTCAACAGTAACAACAATCATGTTAATATTGTTCGCTCTTATCTGCTCGCGTGCCAGTCAACACGTATACCCAAACCCTCAATACCCGCCCTCTTCGTCTTCGGTCGTGCCCCCTTGGGGGTATATCTTCCTTACCTGCAACGTATATTTCTCGCAGCCCCTGGGGCTGGGGAAGAGAGGACGGATGGAAGGAAGGGGCAAGGGGAAAGGAGGAGGATGGAGCACGAGAGAGTAGCAGAAGGGCGGCCAGGAGCAGAAAACAAGTGGCAGAACCAGACTGACAGATCGGGCGGATAGGCTCCACCGCGCGGGTCGGGAAAGCGCGTCCTGCATGAATCGCGAGGAAGTCTCGAGCGACAGCGCGATCTGCAACGGGGCCACGAAGGGCAGCGAGGGGGCCACGAAGGAACGAGGCCACGAAGGGTAGCGAGTGGGCCACGAAGGGTGCGACGGGGCCACAAAGGGCAGCGAGGGGGCCACGAAGGGCTGCAACGGGGCCGCGAAGAGCAGCGAGGGGGGCACGAAGGGCTGCAACGGGGCCGCGAAGGGCAGCGAGGGGGGCACGAAGTGCTGCAATGGGGCCGCGAAAGGCAGCGAGGAGGGCACGACGGGCTGCAACGGGGCCACGAAGGGCAACGTGGGGGCCGCGAAGGGCTGCAACGGGGCCACGAAGGGCAGCGATATCCCAAGTATTAAATAAAGTGCGAGGGAGTCCCAGGCGTGAGCGCGACTCCTGGGTGCCTGAGTGTCGCGAACGCGGCGCTTGAGTAAATTGCAGGGAATTCCAATACAAGAGCGCGATGCTCGAATCATTTGCAAGCAAATCTCCAGCGAGAGCGCGACTCCAAAGCACCGAGAAAACGATTCCTGTATAAATCATCAGGAAATCCCAAGCGAGAGCGCGATGTTTGAAAAAAGTGCGAGGAAGTCTCGAGCGGGAGCGGGGGTCCCTGCTAAATTGTGAGAACATCTCAAACGGGAGCTGCTGTTGTTGTTGTTGTTGTAACCCAGGGGCCAGTGGCATAGTTTGACCCCCGTGGTTTTCCCTGATAAAAATCAGGGTGCGAGCCCGGGGGGAGCACCTCAATTCAAAAACACAATGGGCACTGGAGGGGGGATCAACAATTTTGTTCTTTAGTAGTGAGAGTTCAACAACGACACCCACATCAACAATCATGCTAACACTGTTCGTTCTAGCCTGTTCGCGTGCCAATCAATACGTAGATCCGAAACCTTCGGTATCCGCCCTTGTCGGCTTCGATCGCACCCCCTTGGGGGTATATCTTCCTTACCTGCCACGTGCATTTAGCGCAGCCCTTAAAACAAGGGAAGAGAAGACGGGTGGAAGGGGGAGGGAGAAGAATGGAACACGAGAGAAATTAGCAGGAGGGGGGCAAGGAGCAGAGAACAGGTGGTAGAACCAGACGGGCAGATCGGGTGGGCAGACCCATAGCGGGCAGGTCGGGAAGGCGGTCCCAGGCGGCCAGGTCGAGCAGGCGGGTTGCTCAAGCGTGGGTCCTGCATGAATCGCGAGGAAGTCTCGAGCGATAGCGCGATTCCCAAGGCAATCGTTAGAAAAGCCAAAGCAATATCGTGAATCCTGAGCGCCGAGGGCGCATCGTCTGAATAAACTGGGAGGAATCCCACGCGAGAGCGCTTTGGGAATACATTGTGAGGAAGTATCAGGAGGGAGCCGCTGTTGTTGTAAACCGGGGGCCAACAACACAGTTTGAGCCCCGTGACTTTCTTTGGGGAAGAAACAGGATGCGAGCCCTGGGGGGGGGCGTTTAAATAAAAAATAATACGATGGACACCAGAGGGGGGATCAACAATATTTAGTCAATAGTGAGAGCTCAACAACAACAACAACAACAACAACAACAACAACAACAACAACAACAACAATTACTAGCACGTGGGGACACTCCGTTCTCACCAGTGCCAGGGTTTTCATAGGAGGCGGGCAATACCCCCACTTTGTGGGGGGGCCGGTTCAAGCTCTACCAAATTTCCAAACGACTCTTCGCCACCACCCACACCCAGCTTCCCGCCCTATGACGTTCGGACACTTCACTTCGTGGCATGCGGACGACCGTGGCTACTATTCAGGGCCCCGCGGCCGACGACGACGGCGTGCGCGCGCGAAGAAAAAACGAATGTGTCCCGCATGGTATTATTTGACAGGGATGATGGCCCTGGCAGGTGCGCAACCGTTGTTGCAGAAGTTCGAAAAAGTTGCTCGCAAAAGCCCGTTTGACAGAAATGTTTAAAAAGTGTTGGGTTTCCTACGAATCCGCAAGAGCGCGCGGGATGAAATTTTGACATTTTTTTTTGAAAAACCATTGGTTTTTTGATGTTTTTATGTTAAAATCGCTACGAAACTAAGGTTTTGGAAGGATTTCGTCTTGCGCGCGCGAATGTCCACTTTACCTTATTTTTTGCAAGGGATTCTTGAAGTTTGGTTATGTTAGAACAAGAAATGTCCACTTTAGCTTATTTTTTGCAAGGGGAAACCGATCGTAACAACACAACCGGATCTGGATGACATCGTTTTGACTGAGACTTCCTCACGAAAATGATGAAAACGTGGCTGCGGCCTAGGCGCGGCGGGGGGGCCATGCACCAGGGGCCCCAACAATAATTATTCTTTAGAAGTAATAATGTTCAACAACAACAAGAGCAACAACAACAACAACAACAACAAGAGCAGCAGCAACAACAACAACAACCACCATAATTTTTAGACTGTTCGCCCTTATATGCTCGAGTGTCCAATAACGCGTATTTCCCAAACCCTCGATACCCGCCCCCTTCGTTTTCGATCGAACCCCTTTTGGGGGGTATACTTTTCTTCCCTGCAGGCCGGGCCCCGGCAAGCGGTAGGGCGGCCGCGGACCGTCGGCCTGGCCAGCGGCAGCGCTGATCGGCGGGGCGGCCGCGGACCGTCGACCCGACCCCAAGAGGGACGGACAGGGGACCGACCACGACGACGACGACGACGACGACGCCGAAGACGACGGCGACGACGACGACGACGGCGACGACGAGCGAAAGCGAGAGCGAGAGAGAACGACAGCAGGGCCACGAAGGGCACGAAGTAGGCCACGAAGGGCGACAGCGGGGACACGAAGGAAATGCGTATGGTGCCACGAAGAGCGCGAACGAGCGGGGGCCACGAAGTGCAGATAATAATGCGGGGCCACAGAAGGCAACCATGGGGCCACTGAGGGTAGCAACTGGGCCACGTAGGACAGTGAGGGGGACACAAAAGGCGACAGCGGGGCCACGAAGGGCGTGCACATGGGGCCACAACGGGCGCGAGTCCTGGGTGCCTGGGTGTCGGGAGTGCGGCGCTTGGGCAAATTGCGAGAAATTCCAACGCAAGGCCATTCTTCAGTAAGTTGCAAGCAAGTCTCCAGCGAGAGCGCGACTCCAGAGCGCGGGGAGAGCGATTCCTTAATGAATTGTAAGGAGTCCCAAGCGAGAGCGCGATTCCTGAATAAAATGCGAGGAAGTCTCGGGCGGGAGCGGGGGTCCTGGCTAATGTTTAAAGAAGTCTAAGGCGGGAACCGTTGTTGTTGTAACCTGGGGGCCAGGGGCCCAGTTTGAGCAGGAAGACTTTCCTTGTCAAAAAACAGGGTGCGAGCGTCGAGGGGCACACTTTGATTGAGAAAAAACTGGATGCATCGGTGGGGGGATCAACAATAACTATTCTGCAGAAGTGAGAATTCAATTTCAACAACAACAACCACCACCACCACCACCACCACCACCACCACCACCACCACAACAACAACAACAACCACAACCACAACCACAACCACAACCACAACCACAACCACAACCACAACCACAACCATAACCACAACCACAACCACAACCACAACCACAGCAGCAACAACAACAACAGCAACAACAACAACAGCAGCAGCAACAGCAGCGACAACGCCACAAATCCGGCAGGCCATCCTGGACGAGGTGCGCGGCAAGGCCACCAAGGCGGCCGCCAGGGCCGTGCTCGCGGAGCTCGCGGCGGCCGAGCTCGCCCGTGGGGCCGCGGGCGCCGAGAAGTGCAGGCAGCAGCCCTCGAGGCTCGAGGTTCGAGGTCGTCGGTCGTCCTCCGCCGGACCTCGGCGGCTTCCCCGCCCCGGGAGGCGAGCGCCCAGGGGGTGCCCAGGGCTTTTCCCGGACGGCCATCGGAGGCCCGAGTTTCTGGTCCGAAGACCGCTGGGGCCTGCAGGCAGCAGGTCGCGCCCATGCAGGGCGAGGACGACGACGCCGGGAAGGAGGCCCAGGACGGCGTGACGTTCGAGGAGTTCAAGAAGCTCGTGGAGCTGCTGAAGAATCGCGAGGGCTTCGTGAAGGCCGAGGTGGAGAGGTACATGCACATGTTCGACGACTACGACACCACCGGGGACATGAAGCTGGAACCCCGCGAGATCATGGGCGTCCTGTGCCACCTGGGCTATGCCCTGGACTTCAAGGGCGTGATGGGCATCATAGACGACGTGAAGGGCGCGGCCCCCGAGCCGGGGAGGAGGTGCTCCTACTCTCTGGCGGACATCGGGGGCGGAAAAGAGGGGGGTGGTGACTAGGGGGGGTGGATATCATGGCGCGGGCCATGATATTTCCCCAGATTTCACGGCGCCGCTTCTTGTTCCATTGCGTCCCCGGACCCCCCGCTGGGCCGCGCACGTGCCGCCGGTCATGAGTTGCACCCCCCCCCCTCTTGGACACCCCCCTCCTTGGCCGCCCCCGAGGACGGTGACGGCCCCAAGCTGGAGCGGAGGGAGTTCCTGCTGTTCATGCGGACGCCGAAGACGAAACCTCGGCACAGCCCAGAACTTGCCGGAGTCTCGCTCGGATGTGTCCCGGGTCGGCGCCGGGCCCCCCCCTTGTCGGCGACACAGAGGCGCCGCCCCTGGCGAGGCTCCCTCTGGGAGCCGACGCTTCGACAAATGCAGTGTCGCGAAAATCGCCACCCACCAAGCCACCCCAACCCAACCCGAAGGCTCAGATTTTCCCTCGATGTCCAGTGGGGGGGGGGTCGGGAAACATCGAACAAAACACATGTGGAACCCTTACCCCCCCAACCCGAAATTCGGGTCTTCGGGTTGGGTTGGGGTGGTCTGGTAGGTAGTCAGAAAAATCTCGACCAGAGCCCTGGAGCCAATCTTTCTGCGGCACTCCGGTTCAAGCTGGGTCGACTTGGAGCAACGTCGGGCTCTCAGGGCCCCTGTGCTAGGGAGGGGGGCCCAGCGACGATCCGAGGAATCCGCGCGGGCCTCCGAAAGTTGTGTGTTCATACCGTCTTTTCGTCTTCCAGGAAGGCCCGCGAGCGTGAGGTCGCCATCGTGCGCGAGCTCTTCGCGAAGAACGACGTAGACGACAGCAAGGCCATATCCTCCGACGAGCTGAACGGGCTGCTCGGGACCCTCGGTTACGTGCCGCAGGCGAAGACCATCGAGGAGGCCCGCGAGGACATCGGACTGGGCAAGGCCGCGGACCGCGAGCTCCTCTTCCACGAGGTCTGGCAGTTCCTCGAGGTCTACCGACTGCACCACGGGCTGTCGCAGTCGGATTATTTAGAGGTGGAGGAGACTTACAGGAAGTTCGACGCGGACGGCAACGGAGTGCTCGATGCGTCGGAGGTGGCCAAGCTCCTCCGTTTTCTGGGCTACGCCGTCTCGTACCACTCATGCATGAGACTCATGGCCGATGTGAACACGAGCCACATCGACCTCGACGAGTTCGTGGAACTCGTCAGGAAGTACCGCGAGAAGCGCACCAAAGCGATCTTCCAGGCGCTCGTCGACAACGAGGAGGCGCTGGACGGCGAGGCCAAGGAGCTCGACGCCGATGTGGCCAGGGCTGTGGCCGCCAGGGCCACTGTGATGAGCCTGCCCTCGATGAGGCACTCGATGAGCCTGCCCTGGACAAGCCATCGAAGGAGGAGGAGCAGGAGCAGGAGCAGGAGGAGGAGGAGGAGGAGGAGGAGGAGGACGAGGAAAAAGGGGAGGAGGGGGAGGAGGAGGAGGAGGAGGAGGAGGAGAGGAGGAGGAGGAGGAGGAGGAGGAGGAGGAGGAGGAGGAGGGGGAGGGGGGCAGGAGGAGGAGGAGGAGGAGGAGGAGGAGGAGGAGGAGGAGGAGGAGGAGAGGAGAGAGGAGCAGGAGGCAGGAGCAGGAGCAGGAGGGAGGAGCAGGAGCAGGAGGAGGAGGAGGAGGAGAGCAGGAGCAGGAGCAGGAGCAGGAGCAGGAGCAGGAGGGAAAAAGGGGAGGGAGGAGGAGGAGGAGGAGGAGGAGGAGGAGGAGGAGGAGGAGGAGGAGGAGGAGGAGGAGGGTAGGACAGGAGGAGGAGGAGGAGGAGGAGGAGGAGGAGGAGGAGGAGGAGGAGGAGCCTCCGATGGCGGCGGCGACGGATCGCCGCGCGGCGCTGGCCGCGGCCCGCGGGGCCGCGCTGGCAGTGCACGGCGCTGCTGGCCTTGCGCGGTGTGCGGCAGCCGTTCGGCTGCTGCGCTCCGCCGATAGCCTCGTTCGCGACGCGGCGGCGATGCATGAAGCTGAGCTTCGAGCAGCCCGCCCCGGAGCCGCTGATGGTGGAGGAGGCGGTGGCGGCGGAGGCCCTGGTGAGCCACCTCGCGCTCCCGCGGCTGGCGGCCCGCCCGATGGCCAGGAGCCACGGCGGGGGCGCCGTCTTGCTCGGCGTCGCCGAGCTCGCGGAGCGCAGGACGCGCCCACGGTGCCCTCCGACGCTGCCGAGGGGGCGGGCGGTGCAGGGGGCGGCGGCTGCGACGGCCTCGAGGACGACAGCTGGGCGGACGGCGCCGTCCGCCGTGCGCCCTCGGCCGACGCGCCCGCCGCGGCCTCTCGTGCCGCCGCTGCGGTGCTGGGCGTGGCGCCCCCTTACTCGTGAGTCGCCTGGAGCACCGCTCGGCGGCGAGGGGGGGGGGGCGCCGTGCTGCCCGAGGAAGCGTCCACTGCAGCTGCCGCTGCTGACGCTGGCACGGTCGCCGAGGCGGACGACGACGAGCCCGAGGTGGGGGCCGCGCTGTTTGCAGCGTGGCTCCGAACGCCTGGCGCCCGCGCGGCCGACCCCCGGCCGCACCTCGCCGCGTGGCCGCTCCCCGCGCCTCCGAGCCTGGCTCGCCGAGGCGGCGAAGGCCGGCGGGGCGGGGAAGGTAGCAGAAGGGTCGGCGATGGTGCGGCGGTCCGCGGAGGTGTGCCGCCGCCTGCGTCTTCCCCCCCGCCCCGCACATGGAGCCAGACTTCGGCGGGCTCGTGTCCATCGGCGCCCGAGGCGGTCGAGCAGCTGGTGGGCGCGGCGCGCTGGGAGTACGTTTTGGCGCATGGCTGTGTCAAGTAGGAGAATGATGATGATGATGATGATGATGATGATGATGATGATGATGATGATGATGGTGATGATGATGGTGATGATGATGAGGAGGATTATGATGATGATGATGATGCTGATGACGATGAGGATGATGACGATGATGGTGATGATGATGCTGATGCTGATGATGCTGATGATGATGGTGGTGATGATGATGATGATGCTGACGATGATGGTGATGGTGATGGCGATGGCGATGATGATGATGATGATGATGATGATGATGATGATGATGATGATGATGATGATGATATCACTCCGGTTTCTTCGGTGCTCACTGCAGTATTGGATGGATGTCGCGCCCCCGCGCAGCCGCCATTTTGAACTGATTCTGGGCAGCGGGCCCGCCGCCAGTTTGCCCGCTGTCCCCCGCTGTGGTTTTTATAGTGAAAGACGATCCAGCCCGCCGACGACGCCGCCCGCCGCCCGCCGACGCCGCCCGCCGCCCGCGGCTCCGTCTCCAACACGGCCCATTTTGTCGGGCGACCGCAGCATCGGACCCATGATGATTCCTTTTTGCGAAAGATGATTCATTTTTGCGTGGTTTGTTGAAATTTACGCAGATATTGATTTGGTAAACCCAGTTCGTTGTCAACATTTTCTGGGTGGGGAGTTGGCGATTTCATGTGTATTTTGTTGTTGTTTTTGACCGTTCAAGTGAGATCTGTTTTTTGATTATAGGTTCCAGGAAAGAGTGCCAGCAGTGATTATATATCATTGATATTTTATGTACTGATTTTGAAATATGTTGCCCACCATTTCTAGTTTTCACCGATTTAGAATGTTCCCGCCGCGAGTTTTTTCATGGGAGTCCCGACTGATACATTCGGATTGGATCGCCCCGCCGCCGTTTTTTCCGCTCATGTCAGTGAGTGATTATTATGTATATTTGTTTCGCCGCCGATTTTTTTCTGATACGCAGTTCTTTCTTGTGGTAGCGGCGTGATATGATGATGATGATGATGATGATGATGATGTTGATGATGACGACGATGATGATGATGATGATGATGATGATGGTGAGGAGGAGGAGGAGGAGGACGAGGAGGAGGAGAAGGATTAGAATGAGGAGGAGGAGGAGAAGGAGGAGAAGGAGGAGGTGGACGAGGACGAGGAGGAGGAGGAAGAGGAGGACCAGTGTGAACCCAAGACGCATCAACGGAATTGCAGCACACATCCTCCCTCCAAGACTCGCACGCCCTCCTCCTAAGTTCCCTCCTCGTAGGCCCCTACACATATTCACTTTCACTGAGGGAAATGCCCCGCTGGAAGGCAACCTTTTGAATATCCAGAACTGTACCAGAAGGCCACGCCTGGGACCTCAACGCCGGGAATCACCATTATTGTTGCGTCGCGGCGACCCCGAATCGTGCCAGATCACCATTCCTGGGACGTCAAGACGGACCAACTTGATTGTTACGCCCTGACATCCTGACACCGTGCTAAAACAGAATTTCGCGGACGCTCGCCATGATAATAGTTAAAACGCTGGCCAAGTCTTAAGACGATTGTGCGCAGCGCTCAGTCGAGAGCCACAGTTTGCAGAGGAACCGCCCTCCATCCGCGAAGCTCTTGCAGACTGTTGAAACGAATGTGCGCGGCGCTAAGGCGAGAGCCGCAGTTTGAGAACGGGTCACTCTCAACTCGTGACGCTCCTGCACATTTTGAAACGAATGTGCGCGGCGTTAAGGCGAGAAGCACTTTTGTAAAGCAGACCGCGTTCAATACATGACATTGTTGCGAACTGTAAGACGAATATGCGTGGCGCTAAGGCGAGAGCCACAGTTTGAAAACGGACCGCCCTCAATCCGAAAGTTGTTGCACGTCCTAGGCTCCAGGATCACAAATGGCGGGGAAGATTTAAGCGAAACGCCCGTCCCACCCTTTCGAAAAGAAAAAGGAATGTTGGAGGAGGACGAGGACGAGGACGAGGAGGACGAGGAGGACTAGGACTGGACGCCCATAAAAGGGGAGAAAGAGAGAGCGAGAGAGAGAGAGAGAGAAAGAGAGAAAGAGAGAGAGAGAGAGCGAGAGAGAAAGAGAAAGAGAGAGAGAGAGAGAGAGAAAGAGAAAGAGAAAGAGAGAGAGAGAGAACAAAAAAAAGAGAAGAGAGAAAGAGATCAGAGGGTGCGCGCCCCGAAAGGAGCACCCCCATCGGAGGGGAACTTTTCTGTCGCCTTGGAGGGGGCTCCACCCGGAAATAGGAAATAGGACAAATTGCAGCCAATCAGTACCAATCCGAACCACCTAAGTATTCCAGCCAACCTCTATGAGAAGCCCCACGAGCGTCCGGCGGGCATCTTAGATGCGTCGTACGGGCGTCTTCGGGGCGTCGCGCGGGCGTCTCAGGGGCGTCGCACGGGCGTCTTAGAGCGTCGTACGGGCGCCCTAGAGGCGTCGTGCGGGAGTCCAAGAGGCGTCGCACGGGCATCTTAGAGGCGTCGCGCGGGCGTCTTAGAGGCGTCGTGCGGGCGTCTAAGAGGCGTTGTAGAGGCGTCGTACAGGCGCCTTAGAGGCGTCGTGCAAACGTCTTAGAGCCCTGCGTGCATGCGACGGATGTGTGGGATGATGATGATGATGATGAGGAGGAGGAGGAGGATGAGGATGAGGATGAGGATGAGGATGAGGATGAGGATGATGATGATGATGATGATGATGATGATGATGATGAGTATGCTGATGATGTTGATGATGATGATGATGGTGATGATGGTGATGATGATGGTGGCGATCGTGATGGTGATGGTGATGATGATGAGGATGGCCCAACGATGATGATGATGATGATGATGATGATGATGATGATGATGATGATGATGATGATGATGATGATGATGATGATGATGATGATGATGATGATGGTGGTGGTGGTGGTGGTGATGATGATGCTGATAGTGATGATGGTGATACTGGTACTGATAAAGGTAATAGTAATAGTGAATCCGTGAGCTCTCTATCCCTTAAGTTTTCAAACCAGTAAATCCTTAAGCCACTCTTATGTCGGGAGCCTCGAGACGGGGGTCAGTGCAGACGGGGGTCAGCCAGAGCGCCGGATCTTGCAGGATCCTGCAGCGCCAGGGTCGCATTGACCCGGGTTTGGGTGCAGGATCCTGCAGGATCCTGCAGGATCCTTCGCATTGACCCGGGTTTGGGTGCAGGATCTTGCAGGATTTTGCAGGCCTGATTGACCCGGGTCTGGATTGACCCAGGTCAGAAGATCCCCGATTATGCCCTTAAAGCCTCTAACCCCTTTAACGCCTCAAACCGCCAAACACCTGAGCCCTTTCACAACTCTGAAATAATGAAGCCCAGAAAACCTAACACTCTTGAGTCCCTTCAGGCCGTAAACCTTTGCACACTAAGCCTTTCACCGTTAAAACCTTTGAAGCCTTGAACCAGGAAGCCTTTAAACATTAGTGCTGAGAGCCCATCAAGGTTTAAACCCTGGGATCCCTTCCGCCGCCCCTTCCGTCGCCCCTTAATGCGCCCCCAGCTCCCCTTGTAAGAAATAAGGTGTTC